TTTTCCTCCCCCCCCCCCCCCCCTCTCTCTCTCTCTCTCTCTCCCTCTCCCTCTCCCTCTCCCTCTTACTTCCAACCGCCAGCACACCGCCAGCCGGGCCAGCCTCCTCCTCCGCGGCCAGGGGCCTGCGCAGCCGCCCACGCCGTCTGCTGCGCAAGCACAGCCGAGTGGCGTGCGGGGTGTGCACGTCTAGATCTCGCACAGCCACGCGGCGGTAGACAATCAGCACGGCCACGTTCGCCAGGGCAAATGGCGAGAGGCAGGGTGTACTCGCTGATGATGCTAGCGACGAGGAGCCGAAGGTACCACGTTGTGAAAAGCTGCGGCCGAGAAGTGGGAGGCCGTCAGTGGTGGTGTGAGTGAGACGTGCTCCTTGCGCCGGCTCAACGCGCCTCTCTTCGTTAGCGTCAACGTCGACGCGGGAGCCTGGCTGGATGTCGGTGCAGTGCGCATGTCAGGTATGTGTTGTCAGCGCGCGGGTATGGCGTGGGTGCCGTGAGGGTGGGCATGCGCGTGCGACATCAATCACCAGCAGCGTAGCTGCGGGGGAGCGGGCAGGATGCACCATGCGCCACGAGCCACGAGGCAGCTGCGCTTTGACGCTACAGAATGGGAGAGTCCGACAATTGCCCAAATTGCCGTTTACTATTCCGGTTGCGGAATATGCGGAAAGTGCGGAAAACAATGTGCGTGGGGAGGGCGTTACAATCCTGCTTCTTTCTTTCTTGGGCTTTAAAATACCCCGTCAGCAGAGTCCTCCTACGTATCTGAAAGTAGCACATAACACTGAATGAATGAAAATGTCCATCTGTGGCGAGGGTATCGACTACCTTCCTTGCCCTCTACCTCTGGGATGGGAAGGAGTGAGCCTACCAGGTAGCCTTGAAACAACGGTTTCCGCACCGCCTCACGCATCTGCTGATGCGGCCCAAGCTTGCCGCGTTAGCACTGCATCCGGCGCGGGCACCCAACGCGCTTCATTGCTGCCCGGTACGACTGTACTGATCTGGCTTGCGCACCAGTGCTGGCAGGCTCACACCATAGTGCTCCCTTGCCTGCTGGTGTAGGCAACAATACCCTTGCTGGCAAGCTTCACCTCGCGAGCTGCCTCGATGGGGTGCCGAGGCATAGAGATTAGAGTCTCGCCTACGCTGCGGCACAGACACCTGATGAGGACAGCATGATACCACATGAATCTGCCCAGTTGCAGCAAATTCTACTGAACAGTTGAGGGCTGGCGAGAGAGAGACCGTTAAGGAGCGCGAAACGCGCGAGGAAGCCGCGGGCTGCGGGCTCATATACAAGAAGAAAAAGTTGAAAACGAGACTCCTTGTTATCCATAAAAGAGCCACATACATGATATGTCAACCGGCGCACATGCGACGAGAGCGGGCGCCGTTTTTCATTGCCTATTCTAACGAGACAGAGCAGCGGCACGGGCGTTGCCGATCGAACACGGATTGCTGAGGGCCATGCACAATTCGTGCGGTTATGGGCTGCCACCGCAAAACATGCAAACGACAGGCCACGCCACGTGCGCCACCATATCCAGCTGCGCAGCGGCAACGACTGCCGAGGCGCAGGCCGAGCCGCAGCCTACCCGATGCCCCGCCGACATGCGGCATTGGCCAAAATGCTGGGCATCTCAGGTTAAGGAAGGCAACTTGAAATAGCAAGGAGCATCCTAGAATGCAAAGGGGTAACTCCAGATGCTAGCGCATTCACGAATGCAGTTCGCATTCCAGGATGGTCGACGCATCCTGGAATGCGTGGACCATCTTTGGAATGCGGTGTGCATCTTGAAATGCGAAAAGTCAACTCGGCATTCTGAATTGAAAAATGCAATCTAAATTGATTTTTTGCAACTCAAAATGCCCTCAGCATCTCAAATTGCGGGTTCCCCGCCCCTGACGTACGCGGAGCGCCGGTCTAGAAAACACTCTAATTTTTAACACATGTACCGCGCGCGTGCCGCGTGCGTTAACGATACTCGTCAGCACAAGAGGAGAGTGGTGAAAAGCCGCCAACGAGAGACGTCGCCCCGAAACGCCTACTAGCTACTTTATCATTCCCGGCGCGCGGCCCTGGAGCCACACGGCCAGCCTGGGAGCACATGACCCCCGTCGCCCTCGACGCTCGGCTCTCCCGAAGCGCCGCCCCCCTCTCGAACTCACGCGCTGCCGTAGAGGGTGAGCTTGCCGTCCGGGCCCGCGGCGACGAGCAGCGAGGCGGCGGCGCCGAACGAGACGCCGCTCGCCGCCGCCTTGTGCTGCGCGAGCGACGCCCACGACTTTGTCTCGTAGAGGGAGGTGGTGCCCGCGGCGGCGGCGAGGAACTGGCCGCTGAAGTCGAAGGCGGCGGAGCGGACGGGCGCGCCCACGTCGATCGTGTGGATGTTTTTCAGCTTGCGCAGGTCCCACAACTTCAGCGCGCCTGCCGGGGGGCGGGAGGCGGGCCGCGGCATCACGAGACGGGTACGGTGGGGGGGGGAAGCCGCCGCGAGGACGCGCGCGGTGCGCGCGCCCTCGGCGCCGCCGGTGGCGAGGTAGAAGCCGTTCTCGGAGAAGGATAGGCACGAGACGGGCTGCTCGACCGTCTAAGCTGGCCACGTTTGGCCCGCGACTTGATATCCCCCACCCTGTTGACGGGGGCCACTAGAGTCGGCCGGTCTCAGATCTGGGCCAAGCAAGGGTTGGTCTCGGTCCAAAGTAAGGTCTGTGTGGCGCGGTTGTGCTTTGTGTTTTCTTTGTAATATTCTTGTTCTTCGTTTCTCTCTCTCTTATTAATTCTCAATCTATCTTT